CAATCTAAAAGAGGCACACTTCAGATTCAAAGACACAAATAGGCTGAAAGTAAAAGGATACAGCTGCCCCCAGAGGCCTTGCAGGTGTGGCTGCCGTGTCATATTTGTGTCATTAGAGGGCAGAGAGAGGAGAGGCTATGTCTACTTTCAGTGTTCTGACCCATGAACCTTTGAATGATTAATAGTCTGACACTTGACAAGGCAGAAATTTGTGCTCCTTCGTGTCTTGTGGACTTAGAATCTGTTCATCCTGCACCGGTGGCCCTGGAAGGGAGGAAGTCTTTCAAGAGGGTCTTCCGGGCCACACAGTGACCATCCAGGTTCATCCAGCAGCTGCTCAGTGCAGGTGCCAGGAGAGGCAGTCTGAGTACGGTGTGGTCTTCATTTTGGGTTGGCCGCTAGGGGTCTCAAAGGTGACCGGGGGAAGATAGGGGGTGCCCTTGGCAATAGTGGCCTTCACGTGTTAGTTTAAAAACTGTCAACAGGAAGAATAAAGTACAATATTTGATTGCTGGTTCATAACACAAAACTTGTCAAAGGAGTAGGTTTTCAGAATATACAGAGGTTGCCTAAAAAAGGTATACACATTTTAAGAAAGGAAAAACTATTAAAATTATCATACTTATATATATATATATATATATATATATATATATACCAATAACAAAAGATGAATACAAGTCACCTTTGACTTCTGCAGTTACAAGAGGTGCTCAGAGTGGTTACCATCAGTGTTCAGACCCTTTTGATTACGGCAAACTAAAAGTAATACATAGATACCATCTCTTAAAATGTGCTTACATTTTCTGGCACCCCCTGTACATAGGACTACAGAGGATTGGGGAAGGTTTGCTGGCGACTGATTCCATTGACAGTAATAACGGTACCATCTTCCATTGTTCTGTGCCAAGAAAAAAAATAAAGAAAGTAAAAGGATACAAAAAGATATACCACGTTAACTAACCAAAAAGAGCTGAGTGCCTATCTCAGGGAAGACAGGTTTAGAGACAAAAAATATTATTAGAGACAAGTATATTACAGACTAATACAAGGGTGAATTCATTAGGAAAACATAACAAGTATAAACGTGTATATGCACCAACAACAGATTTTTAACATACAGGAAGCAAACCTGACAGAATTGAAGGAAAAACAGACAATTCAACAATAATAGTTGCAGATCTCAATACTCTACTTTCAATAATAAATATAATGAATAGGTAGAAGATCAACAAGGAACTAGAGAGTTGAACAACACTATAAACTGGACTCAGACATCTATCGAAGACACTAGACGAGATGCTAGGCCACGAAATAAGTTGCAACAAATTTAAAAAGACTGAAATTGGGCAAAGCAGCATTTCTTACCCAAATGGAATGAAACTAGGAAGCAATGACCAAAGGAAAACTGGGAAATTCACAAATGTGTGAAAAACAAACACCACATTCCTAGACACCAATGGGACAAAGAAGAAATCAAAGAGGAAATTAGAAAATACTTTGAAATGAATGAACAGGAAAACACCACATATCGAAACAAGGAATGCAGCTAACGTGATGGTAGTGCTTAAAGGGAGATTTACAACTATCAATGCCTGTATACATATATTTAAAAAAATTTTTTTAGAGATAGATTCTCACTCTGTTGCCCAGGCTGGAGTCCAGAGGCACAATCATGGCTCACTGCAGCCTCGAACGCCTAGGCTCATGAGATCCTCTCACCTCAGTCTCCCAGAGTGCTGGGATGATAGGTGTGAGTCACTGCATCTAGAAAAATGTCCACATTTAAAAAAAAATCAAATCAATAACGTAACCTCCTACCTTAAGAAATTAGAAAAAGAAGAGCCAGGCTTAGTGGCTCACACCCGTAATCCCAGCACTTTGGGAGGCAGAAGCGAGAGACGTGCCTGAGCCCAGGGGTTCGAGACCAACCTGGGCAACTTGGCGAGACTCGTCTCCACAGTAAGTCAAAAAATTAGCCAGGTATGGTGGCGCACACCTGTAGTTCCAGCTGCTGGGAAGGCTGAGGTGGAAAGATTGCCTGAGCCCAGCAGGTTGAGGCCACAGTGGCCACAAGTGTGCCAGTGTTCTCCAGCTTGGGTGACAGAGTGAAACTTCTACACACACACCCCAAAGCAAACAGAATGAAGTAACAAAGGTTAGAGTGGAAATAAATGAAATGGAGAATTTTTAAAAACTGAGAAGATCAATGAAGCTAAAAGTTGATTCTTTGAAAACAAAATTGATGACTGGGCTCAGTAGTTCAGCCTGCAATTCTAGCACTTTGGGATGCTGAGGCAAGTGGATTGCCTGAGCCCACAGGTTCGAGACCAGCCTGGGCAAATTGGCAAGACCTTATCCCTACAATAAACAAATAAAAAATTAGCTGGGCGTGGTAGTGCGTGCCTGTAGTTTTGGCTACTTGGAAGGCTGAGGCGGAAGGATCGCCAGAGCCCAGCAGATCAACGCTGGGGTGGCCATGAGTTTGTCACTGCACTCCAGCCTGGGTGATGGAGTGAGACTCCAACTCAAATAAATGAACAAACAAAATAAAATAAAAAGAAAATAAAATTGACAAATCTGTAGCCAGACTAACCAAGTAAAAAAAAAAGAGGAAAAACTCAAATTACTAAAATCAGGAATGAAATGGGGGCCATTACTACCAATTTTGCAGAAATGAAAATGAGTCTGAGAGAATACTATGAACGATTATATGTCAACAGATTAGATCATCTAGATGAAATTCGAAAGTTCCTAGAAAGACAGAAACTACCGAAACTGATTCAAGAAGAAATAGAAAACATGGAGAGGCCTATAACAAGTCAAGGGGTTGAATCAGTAATTTTTAAACTTCCAATAGAGAAAAGTCCAGGACCCGATGGCTTCACTGGTGAATGCTACCAAACATTTCAAGAATACATAGGCTGGGTGCAGTGGCTTATGTCTATAATCCCAGCACTTTGGGAGGTCCAGGTGGGAGGATTGCTTGAGTCCAGGAGTTCAAGACCAGTCTGGGTAATATAGCAAGAACTTGTCTCAATAAAAATAGAAAAATTAGCTGGACATGGTGGCCTGCACCTGCAGCCATGAGACAGGGTATTCAGTATAGGTTAGACATAGATAGATACATTTATTGTAGGGCAGTTTAAATTAAAATAGGGTAATTGTTCAGATACCTTCCTTATCAGTACATGACCTCTGACATCCACCCAACCTGACTAGACCGGACCACCTTGCAGGCTGGAACTTACCAGTGCAGCAAAACACAGAAACAATAGGGAATTACCCAAAACACAAACATGCTGTTCTAAGAAAAGCCCAAATCTAGTTAGGCAGTAACTTTAACTATTTAGAAGGTCCTTGTGACTTTAGAAGGTTGTGAGATGGTAATCAAAACTCATGACTAGCCGGGCTCGGTGGCTCAGTCTGTAATCCCGCGCCTTTGGGAGGCTGAGGTGAGTGGATTACCTGAGCCCGCGGGTTCGAGACCCGCCTGGGCAAGTTGGCGAGACCTCATCTCTACAATAAATCAAAAATTAGCCGGGCGTGGTAGTGAGCGCCTG